GCAAAAATAATATTTGATATATTTATTTAAATATCAAAATTAGTTCACTATCAAGAATAAAAGTCATACTTTTAAGTCTCTTTAATTATTAGTATTCAAATTATATTTTAAAATAAAAATGAGCGCGAATCTCTCAAATATATCTTTTAAGTTTTTATCACAAAAATAGATTTATGAAACTAAAATGACCAAAATAGCATTTTTTATTTTGAAAATTTTAAGTTTTTTCTATTTTAAAAAAAATGTGAAATCCTACCCTCAAAACCCCACTCTTCAACTCTAAACAAAAAAAAATTCTCAGATTAGTTAACCCAAAGTATATAAATGTATATTTACTTCTTTTGTATTAAAAATTTTAAGTTTATTTTCATCATTTTTATTTTTAAGATCTATATTTGTGATAAAAAAAATTTCTAGGTCAACCAACCACTCCTACTTGCTCTTGGCCTTGGCTGCTTAGAGCTTGACGTTGCATATTAGAACTCATTAAAGCTCGATTCACATCATTATGTTTGATAAAAATGAATTAGGGAAGCTCCAATGGAATCCTAAAGGATTTATCAATGAACAACATAGCAGCTAGATCTTACATCTACATGCAAATATGCATAGTAACTACAAAATAAATAACATTTGAATGCAATATCTACATGTTGTCTAGATGGTGCATCAAATACATAAACACACATTTACATTTCCTTAACCTTTATTTTCCTGCGTTGGTGTTTGAGAAGGCACAAACAAAAAGTACACAATATCAGTTTTCCAGCTAACTCGACAAAACTGTTCGGAGAAGGATCGATCGCTATTTTGAGTCGCCAAGAATGCAAGGCCTTCTCCAACGTTGGTTTGGTGGTCAACAGATTGGCTACGAGGATTTAAATTTGTTTTCTCTATGGTCACATTCATGTGATTCATTTTGTATATAACCTCGTCATACAATTATCAATTTCAACATTTTTCACCAAAAAATCAAAAATCAAAAATCGGAAAATAGGAAAATTCAAGAATAGATTCCGCAATTATTATAGCTTTCTTTATTTTCAAGTGTTAGCCACCTTAAAGTCATGCAAACGAATGATCTAATAGTCATATTTGACACAAAAGAATCATAAGCAAAGGCAGGAACAGTAATCTGAGATCTAATGAACAAACCTTCTTGTTGTCCTCCGACACTTGTAAACCCTAAAAGTTTCTCTTTCTTAATCGATTCTTCATCGGTCTGCATCTCTTTTTAGCAATCTGAAACCTATTCTCAGGTTTTGAAGAGGCTTGAAGCAACCTAAACGATTTGGTTGGTTTTGGTTAAGCTCCTTAATAATAAAGCTGGCAAGTAGTATCCATCAATAACACTCAAAATTTGGTTCTTGCTTTGCATACCTTGACATGATGTGGCATGATCTTGATATCGTAAGGCACGTGAAGCCAAGCTTCGGGCCTGTAGAACATAAAGTTCTCAGGCTTGCTGGTGTAAACGTCTGCGTATTGGTGGATGTGATAAGAGAATGCTGATTCTTGACCAGTGTCTGTGACAAATGTAGCTCCGAACGATCTGTTGAACATTTGTTTCATCGTCTCTCGTGCTTTCTGTCTGGCCATGTTCAGCTCATCCAAGAGAGATTGGCATGCCTCACTTCTCTGATTGTTTGACACACTCGCATGAAATTTACCGAGCAGTTCTTGGATAATATTGAATTTTGCCTGAATTTAAGCAGATTAAATGCTCTTGTAAATAGACTAACCAATAGAAATGTCTCTGCTTTTACGTATAAAATGTACATTCTAACTTATACTGCATCTCAAGTACTACTTGTGGCTAATATTTATAGATCCAATAAGTAGAAAGCTATTCTTAAAGACACAAAGAAGAAGAGAAAGCTGTGGACATACCTGCTCAAACCGGTAGCTATCTTCATTTTGTATCTGTATTTCTCGCTGATCCAACAAGTGTCACAGAGAGAGAGTCAGTGTTAGATTCTATAGAGAATACAATAAGCTAAACACTACTATCAAGTATGGTAAACTAACCTCAAGCTCGTGAATTATGGCAGCAGTGCGCCAACCAGCCTTTGAAGGCCCTCTTAAGTCACTAAATAAGTGATCTCCAAAATAAATAACCTATGAAGGTAACATGTTGTAGACCTCTTTAAATGCATGCAAAAGCTTATAATTGGAATAATATCACCTTGGTGTAAAGCCTACCTCGGGGCCACGCCACTTCGTGATTTGAAGGAACGATTTAAGGCAACCATGGTAGTATATTTTATCTGGGTGAAATGCATCCACTTTTGTAAACGCCAAAGTATCCCTCTCCTCATCATAGCAACTATAAGGGCATTACATACACAATTTCTTAAACCGACAATGCAAGAACATAGCATAAGCGTGGTTCCATAACATATCAAAATTTCTGTGAGGAAGGAGGAGGATTCCGGAGTAAATAACACAAACCGGAAAGGATGCTCAGATGTATAAAATTCTGGTTTATTTGCTTTTGCAATCACAACATCGAAAAGGTCCCGCCATGAGTCTCTGAGGCCAAAAGATTCCTAATGAAAAACAAGCATAGTGATTATCATCCACTTCAAGAGAGAGGGGGAAAAAATCAGTTTTATGGATATTTAATAATGTGAATCACCTCCATCAGATAGCGCATTCCACCATCGACGAAATGGTAGGGAGAGTTGGTCATCAAGAAAAGCTTCTTCCCTTTATCCTTAAGGCTTCTCAGGAAACGTAGTAGCTGACCCTGAATAGTAACTTGATGTTCAGAAAATATCAATCAAGAGTAAAAATGTATTCTTAATTGAAAGGTAGGTTTAAAGACATGCACTTGCGTTTTTAAGCAAATATTTGGTAGGATCAGCAAGAATTCCTCTATGGACCAAACCACTTCTATGGACATGTTGAATAGCGCGATTTACATCATTGTAGATGTAAGAGGCATCAAACTCAAGCTTGGCGTCTACAAAGTACTGGACCATGTCTGCAATAAGACATGCCTGAAACAAAAAAAACAAACAAATTTTGCAATCAAGCAAAATCAGAGATGACCATATCACAGTCACAGGTCCTATTGATGGATACTAACCTCGCTGAAACAGAAGAAATCCATCAACCCCACCAAAACCCTCGCTTGATCACGACCCATGTGTCGTGTTCCATACATCTTTTCTAGTTCCTTCCTACTAAGCTGCACAATGCAGAGTGATCACAACTCTTCTTCCCATTCAAAAAGGGAAATCATTTGATTAGCAATACCTTACGACGACCAAAGTAACACCCATCAGGCTCGATGGAACCAAAAAAGTCCAGTTTCATGAGACACCCTTTCTGTTTATCGTAGTATAGTCCTCGGATGGGGAAAGTAGGATCATACTTAAACTTCATACAACTCTCAGGATATCTAAACTGCAAGATTCAAGATATTAATACTCAAGCCAGTATAATACAACAATAGAAAATGTCATATATATTAGGGATAAAATATCACACATCGGGAATTCAATGAGACATAGGGTTAGGTGCAATCCACTTATCACGGTTTTAAGTTGGAAGCCGATAACAATTCGAATCTAATATGGTATCATAGCCAGTTTATCACCAATTGATTACCTCATTGACCATGTGCTGTTTGGCAAGATCATAAATCAAACTCTGCAAGTCAGAGGAGTAATGTGCCAAAGTGTAGTCATAATCAAATCCGTAAACTTCGATATTATCCAATCTGAGATTCTTGTTAACATATATCCCTATGAAATCAAACAAACCAAAACCAATCTTTGAGAATCAACAAAAAAATAAATGTTTGGTTTAAGTTAGTCAATGGGGGAAACCTTGAGGATTCATCTTAGGCATACTGCGTAGCGCTTCAGGTATGTTGATGAATCTCTGTTTCGCCAGCTCGAACTCGTGACGGATCTTGGAGATGTCCTCATCATCTGCTGAAGAACATTCCGGGATTACGACGGCGCATTTCTCCGCTAGATTGGCTAACGCTGGGTCCGTGGATGTGATGGTACTGAATCCTCGTAAACCGAACCCTGAGATTTCGAATGATGATCTTAGTTTACCTACGATCGAGTGGGAAGGAAGAATGTGATTCTAAGAAAGGACTCACCGTTTCGGATTTGATGACAGGAAGATAATCTTCCTCTCTGCAATGATGAGGAGGAGACGAGATCGTCATGAATTGGTTAGTGAATTGGAAATGGAAATGATGAAAATTCGGGGAGAGAGAGATATTTACAGTGAGCGATGCACGGAGAGGAAGAAGAAGACGGCGAGATGATGACATAACTTAGTTGGAGGAGAAAGTCAGCTTTTGCATCGAAGGAGTGTCTCTCTTTCCTTTTTCTCTCGTGAGAGAGAGATAGAGTGGACTAGACAACTTGGTTTTAGTTTTGGGAAGAGGAAGATGATGACGTCGTGATGATGTGGCAACGTAGATAATGGCGGTTAGGGTTTTAGCTTTTTATCCGATGAAAGTAGGCATTGGGCCTTTCAAGCTTTAGGTATCAGAGGCATGTAAACATCTTGGAATTTTTATATTTTTCAATCACTTCAATTCCTCCAATGGATTCTGGTTACTTATTTAAGTTGCCTTCTAGATCCGTATTCTGAGTTCAGGTTGGATCCGAATAACTCACTAAACCCAAAATTAAACAATGTGAAGAGAGACATCGGATTTGGATTTTGGGTTCAGTTTTCTTTTGTCCACCTCGACTTCACAAGAGGTATAATCGACATTATACTACTATAAAATTCGGATACGTCGAATTCTAAGTTCGTTTCTCATGTACTCATGTATAATACGAACATGTGACATAGGCTCTATTAAGGAACCAAATCTGATCTGAACTGACTAATTCGGGTTGGTTAGGGTTCGGTTTTCTCCCTCAAAGAATGTAGACTACATAGATAATCTTGTATTGTAGATCCACATTATAAATGATTAAAAGTTGGAAGGAAGAGAGTATTTAGATCAAATGAGAACTAAACTAATGTTGGTCTTTTCTTCTTCTTGAAGCAATCTCCAACGCCCAAGCTTTGCCTATATCAGTCTGGAACTTCCCTGTTTCAAACATCAACAAGTTTTAAAGCCTTTTGAACCATATATACTCTGATTCTGTATATGGATTACATTGTACAAAAAGGACCTACCTGCGGTTGATTGGAAAAACTCTTCTAGATCTTTACCTTGTTCTGCACAAAGCCAGCCAAAAAAAAAACAAACAAAAACAATAGAGTTTTAGTTTCTACATATTGTCAAAATCAGGAGTACTAAAAAGTTTTTTTACGAGAGGTCATTACCCTGTTCATATTCCAAAGCTTGTAGTATCAACTCAAGCTTATCAAAATCTTTAACAACTTTGGCTTCTGGCGACGCGTTTGCTTCATATTCTCTCCACAGCTCAGCGATTTCTTCAGCTGCATTTACCACATATACATACTTATAAGTCAGAACGAGCACAACATCATCGAAAAATAAATAAAAGTAGTTTAAGGATGAGAGAAGAGAGCCCAACCTCTTTCTCCTCCACCCAAGAGTTTGCACATGTGTTCAAGTGCTTCACTTTCTCTTCTATTTTTCTCTTCCTTAGGCACCCCACAAGAAGGTGTAATGTCTCCTACAATGGCTGCTCAACAACAATAATCCAATTTGAGATCTTCTGATTGTAAAGAAAATGGCGATTATACCTATAAGTGAAAGTACTAACCTTCCGCAATGTCATGAACAATTGCCATTTTAATGCATCTGAAAGAAAGACAGCATGGAAAATTCATGAGAATAGTTTTTCCGCTAAAGAAAGAAGCAACCAAGAAACCTTACTTGTCTCTGTTAACACCGGGAATATCCGAAGAGATTAGCGCCATAAGACCCATCCGATACATATGATCCGCTATTGACTCTGGGTTTTTAACATCTCTTTTACCCCATCCAGCTCTTGGAGTTGTCTATTTTGAAAACAAACATACTTGAAATCATTACCATAAGATACAATCCTATAGATGAAGCAGTAAACCAAAACCTACTAAGGAACCGAAAAAACCTTCACATAAGAAGGTGAGTAACAACCACAGAAAACATCAAAGCAACTACATAGCTTGAAATCATTACATTTCCCAAACGAATTGTAGATTCCAATACAATCCATCAACAAGAAACATCAAAAGTAAGCATCCACGAAATATATATATAAACAACGCATGATCTTATCAATAAGAACAACAAAAACCTACCACACGGATTCATTATACATTAGAAACAACATCCACAAAATCTTATCAACAATGTATGAACAAGAACATCAACAGTCATCAAACTGGTCATCCTACATTATTTCCAAATATTCCACATAATCATACATGATCTAATATAATAATCTTCACACTGATGATTAACGAGAGACCACCCGATCTTAGCGGAAAGCATCAGGCGGAGGATCATTCAAAGGCTGACTGAGGTTGCATTACCTTGAGGCGAGAACAGAGGGAGAGAAAATCGATGGCGGAAGAAGCAGACGAAGGAGGAGGGGCGGAGATGGAGACGGAACCATCTCCGCCGGTTAACGGTTGAGAGAGTGGGGAATCGTTGGCCATGCAGTGAATCGCTCGGTTCGGAGATGAAGCTGCGGCGGCGGAGTGGCAGATACGGAGGTGGGGAGGAGTAGTGAGAGAGGGGAGTAGGGAGAGTGGTTTGGTGCAGAGGAAGATTCGATTCATCATCACATGATTCCTCATTTTTTTTTGATTTTATCTTCTTCACTGTTTTGGGGAAATGTGTTTGTTTCAATAGTGTTCTTCTTTCTCAATTCATTTGGGCCTTGGAATTGAACCATAATTGTTTCGGCTTTAGTTAAGGGCTTATTTGCCAAATAACCACAAAAAAAAAAGGAAAATTAGTTTTCTAGTGAGAGAGTAGTGAGAGACAGGGAGAGAAATGAACAGAGAAGGGGAAATTTTAGTTAGTTACTTAATTTAGTTTTTTTTCATGGCTATTTGATCTAATTTCCCTTTAGTTAAGTTAAAACGGATGTTGCTAAAAAAAAAGGGTTAAAATGGATGAATATTGTCTATTATATTTACTTGGTTATTTTTCTTCATCTTTAAATATATTTTTATAAACTTTGTACAATTTCGTAAATTTTATTCCAGAGAAGTTGGGGAATATATTAGTTTATAATGTTTCATTTTTTTTTGTAAATTTTAGAAATACCTTTTAGGATAAATAAGGAAGAAAAGTTGATATGTTGATGAGTTTGATATTTACATGAGCAAAGCGAAACAATAATAATCTTTTAATATTTCATTGATTGTGTAAAGGTTTCTAAACTTAGAGATGAACTCTCCGATGAATTGAGATAATATTTTTTTCCAAATAATATCATTTTATTTTTAAACAAGTATCTAAGTTATTTTTATTATTTTTGAAATTAAAATTATTATTTTACATGGATTTGTGTTTTCTTATGTGGTTTGAAAAATATCATAATTCAAATTAACAATTTAAACTAGTTAAAAATAAGAATAAATTAAATATTAATGTGGAACGATACATAAAATATAAGATATCTCGATGTTTTGATTCAGACACATGACAAATGTAATTGTGGAATTAATTATTGATTTCTTTTCATAATCTGATATTTTGCAGGGTAAACTCTAATCCACTAGTCCTTTTGAGGTCTCTCCATCCACTAGTCCTTTTGAGGTCTGTCCATCGACATTAGATAGATTCTATATTCGAAAACGCGGACGTTTAACCGATTAATCACCCAGTTAGACGTTCGGCAGCAAGGCAATGTCACGATTAAAACCAAATCGCCTTGGCTAATCGGATAGTCGACAAATCGGCCAATTAGGCGATTAATCGGTTTTAGAACTGATTTTATTCCGCCTAATTTTGATTAACTTCAACTATTGTGACTAATATAGGCTTTATTATTAAAGCCAATTGTAAATAATGATTTAACTATCTAGTGATATTTTTAGAGGTCTAAGGTTTTCCACCCTTCTCTTCACTAGAAATTACCGATGTGGGATTTTCTAATTTGTATGTCTATAATTTATCGCGTAAAATTTAATATGTATTGTCGGAGAATTAGACCGCTGACCTCAAACTGCACAAACTTCATCACCCGCTTCTACATCACCGTACCCTTGTGATGTTTATTTATGTATTTTAATGTTTATATCAGAGTTTATTTATATATTTATGATAAAAATATTAAAAACTAATCTCTGATTAATCTTTGATTTTTCATTAACTCGTTAGGCGTTAATTGGCTGCTCGACCAACGCCTAACATATTTTCGAACACCGGATATATTCAATTGCTCGTAAGAGAAATTAGAGACCTACTTAGCATGGCGCTACACGTGTTTAGTGTCGTGGAGTTGATTTCAAACCCATATCACTTATCTCACCAAAATTCGTCTACTGTTACACTACCCAAGTGTGGTTGACTTCTTCTAATTGTTAGTGTGTGTCACACAAAGGCCCATCACCTCACGAATAAAGCCCAACTGCAGTCAGCATCAAACGTTGAAAGTCTCCAACGGTCTTCTGTACCTGCAAGAAAGACAAAGGAAACGTTGGAGCTGAAGAATAAGTTTGATGCTCTCTTATCCATAGGATGAGGACAAGATACTTTCCACCTGTCTTGGAGAGCTGTCACTCTTAGCTGTCGTGAGCCTAGATTATTCTTATGTGATGTATATATTGCAGTGATGTAACTTACTTGAGCTTTAAGCAAAATAAGAAATTTCAGTCAAACTCTGTTTTTCCTCTGTTTTCTATATGGTATCAGAGCCATAAAAACCTTAACAGGTAACTATGGCTGATCCACTCAATCCCTACCCTTTTCCCAGTAAAATACATGTCAGTAGTTCCGTCACCCTAAAGCTAAATGATAGCAACTATCTCCTTTGGAAGACCCAGTTCGAGTCTCTTCTTTCCAGCCAGAAGCTTATTGGTTTTGTAAACGGTGCTGTCGCGGCTCCGGAAGCTACTCGTGTTGTCGTGGAAAACAACATCCCAGTTGAACACCCCAACCCTCTGTACGAAGCTTGGTTCTGTACTGATCAGTTGGTCAGATCTTGGTTGTTTGGAACCCTCTCTGAAGAAGTCCTCGGTCATGTCCACACTCTTACTACTGCACGTGAGATCTGGCTCAGTCTTGCAGAAAACTTCAACAAAAGTTTCCTCTCTCGTGAGTTTACTCTTCGCCGAAACCTTCAGTTGTTGACCAACAAAGGGAAGACCCTTGTGGTGTACACTCGTGAGTTCAAGACTCTCTGTGACTCTCTCAGCTCCATTGGGAAACCCATAGAGGAATCCATGAAAATTTTTGGTTTTCTCAATGGACTTGGACGAGAGTATGACCCGATCTCCACTGTCATCCAGAGTTCTCTAACCAAGTTCCCTCAACCAACCTTTAACGATGTTGTCTCAGAGGTTCAAGGCTTTGAATCTAAGCTCAAATCTTACGAAGACCAACCTTCTGTCACACCTCATCTTGCCTTTGCTGCTCAGAACACCAACCAAGGACCAAACTCCAAGACAAACCCACCTCACTACAATCCTCACTACCGTGGCAGATGTCGGTCCTCTTACAGAGGAAGAGGTGGATACTCTTCACGAGGCCGTGGGTTTACTCAACACCAAACTCAACAACAAGCTTCTGGTACTCGTCCTGTCTGTCAAATCTGTAGCCGCGTTGGTCACACAGCTCTAAAATGTTACAACCGGTTTGATAACAACTATCAGACTAATGAAGCTCTCTCTCTCTCACTCGTTGACCAACATGGAAGAGAATGGTATCCGGACTCAGGGGCGTCTGCTCATGTCACTGCTTCGCCTCAGAACCTTCAAACATCTCATCCTTATCAAGGCTCAGATGCTGTCATGGTTGGAGATGGTGCTTACCTCCCTGTCTCTCACATTGGATCCACAACTATCACCACTGCTGCAGGTAACATTGCTCTCAATGAAGTTTTGGTTTGTCCTGACATTAAAAAATCTCTGTTATCTGTCTCCAAACTGTGTGAGGATTATCCTTGTGGGATATTCTTTGATGTTAACCATGTCTATGTCATTGATATACCACATCAGAAAGTGATAGCCAAGGGGTCCAGAAGTAATGGTCTTTACAAGCTGCAGAGTGGAGAGTTTCAGGCTTTTTACTCAAGTCGTCAAGTGTCTGCTACTGAAGATATCTGGCACCATCGTCTTGCTCATGCCAACTCCCACGCCCTTCAGCATTTATCTACTATCAAGTCTATCCTCATCAATAAAAGCAAGGCCCTTCCTGTCTGTCATCCTTGTCAAATGGGAAAGAGTAGTCGTTTGCAGTTTTTTGCTTCCAAGTCTGTTGTGTCCGAACCTCTAGAATGTATCCACTGTGATCTCTGGGGTCCATCTCCTGTTGTGTCTAACCAGGGGTTTAGGTTTTATGTTGTGTTCATTGACGAGTTCTCTCGCTACTGTTGGTTCTATCCTTTGAATAATAAAGCAGAGTTCTCTTCAGTTTTCATGAGTTTTCACAAGCTTGTCGAGAATCAACACAACAAACGGATTAAAATGTTGCAAACTGATGGTGGTGGTGAGTTTGTTAACAACACAATGAAACGATATCTGAGTGAACATGGCATTCATCATCGCATCTCATGTCCCTATACCCCCCAGCAGAATGGCATTGCAGAACGGAAGCATAGACATCTCATTGAACTTGGGTTATCAATGATGTTTCATAGCCATTTACCTCTACACTATTGGGTCGAAGCATTTTACACTGCTTCCTATGTGAGTAACCTTCTTCCAAGCTCTGCAAACGACAACAAGAGTCCTTATGAAATCCTTCTGAACAAGAAACCGGAATATGGTCATCTTCGTGTCTTTGGCTCTGCCTGCTACCCTTGTCTCCGTCCCATTACTGCACATAAGTTCGATCCTCGCTCCTTGTTGTGTGTGTTTCTTGGATACAGTCCTCATTACAAAGGATATCGGTGTCTGTATCCACCAACCGGGAAAGTGTACTTAACACGTCATGTAATCTTTGACGAAAAGTCTTTTCCATTCAAAGACCAATATTGTCATTTGGTCCCAAGATATGACACTAAACTACTCAAGGCGTGGCAACAGGCTACTTCTCCTCCTCATGACACTCCTGCAGACGCTACACCAAAGGTTATACCACCTCCCCTTCTGCCTGGTCTACCTACTGTTGCTCAAGTCCCGCAGCCCCCAACACCTGTTGTCCAGCCTGCACCAGTTGTTGTCATGAACCCTGTTGCTCCAGTTTCAGCTCAAGCTCAGCCGGAAAACCAACATTAAATGTGCACTCGTGCTAAGGCTGGAATACAAAAACCCAACCCACGTTATGCTCTTGTTGCTTCTAAGTTTGATCTCAAGAAGCCTAGGAACATACGTGAGGCAATGAATCACCCAGAGTGGAATAGTGCTGTTACTGAGGAAATCACCAAGATTCACATGCTTCACACCTGGACTTTGGTTCCGCAAACTCCAGAGATGAATGTAGTCAGTAGTGGTTGGGTCTACACAGAAAAGACTCATCCTGATGGGAGCAAGAAGCCACGTGCTCGACTGGTTGCTAAAGGTTTTCAACAAGAAGAAGGTCGTGACTATCTTGAGACTTTTAGTCCAGTCATCAGAACAGCTACTATTCGGTTGATGCTGAACATTGCTATAGCCAAAGACTGGCCTATCAAACAACTAGATGTCTCCAGTGCCTTCCTTCATGGTGAGTTATCTGAGCCTGTCTATATGTATCAAC